TGTGCTTTGAGGCAGCAGCCAAGAAAGCTGTAGTCCGCGTCTGTGAACACCTGTGTGCATACCTGTGTGGATCAGCATGCTTGTATTCCAAAGGTTTCTCCATGTAACGATCTGCTAGGGAGTGTGGGGGGGCCACAGCCCCGTCCTCCAGGGCATGAAGCAGGTATAGAGGAGATATTTTATTTTCTTATCATTGCCTAACACAATAAGAAAATAAATACCGCCATCATACGTGAATGGTATGATATGGTGTGTGTGAATAAGACCAGAAAGATGGCGATCAACTCCAGAAAGAAGAGGATGGCGACACGACCGATGTCTGTCCTCAGACAGGAAGGTGATGTCGTGTCTGGGCCCAATGCTTGGATGTGCCCATCGAGAACTGAGAGACCGAAAAGGAACGAACAAGCTCTGATTTTTGAGGAAGCTGAGATCCTTCAGTGAGTTCTGCAAAATGTTGACAGGTTTTCTGTCACTGAGTTGTGGAAACTACGATGTACTCTGCTGTGATGTGCTGGGGAAGCAGCGTTGGAGCGGTGACACCAGCCGATACTTGACATGAGCCATCAAGATTTAATTATATGTTTATATTATCCACTACTAAGAAACAATTAAAGGAACACTTTGAAAACACATCAGATGTCAGAGGGTCCTGCTGATCTCTGTGCTGATATGGACGGTGTTAGAAACTGGAGCATGCAGCGTCACTTACAGGAAAACGATCAACCTTCTGCACAAAGGGCTGAATTCAAAGGAACCCCCAAATCAACGTAAAGTAACGCAGCATAATGTTGCACCTCAACATGGTCCTCAGTAGTTCGTACGGCCCCGTGTGCTTCTGTGTGTGCCGATGTTGGGCCATGCTCCTGATGAGACCATGGATCTGACATCGAAGCATCATTTCCAGAGGGGATCTACCGGATTTGGGTCAGGCGAACACCGGGGCCAGTCGGCGTTATCAGGAACTGATCGCACTGTCTCGCCACATGAAGCCGGCGTTGTTGTGCACTCGGAGGAACCAGCAGCCACTGCACCAACGTAATGTTTGACAGTAGTTTAGGGATTTCATCCTGATACTTGACAGTAATCAGGATGCTGTTGTTCCTCAGTGAGTATGCTCAGTGCCTCCCCTACACCGTCACTGACCACATGTTACCGGCATCCCCCACGCCTTATCAAGACCCATGTTTGCCACATGTGCTGGTGGCGGACCTGCCTGTTCTGGTATTACAGCAGCCAGGCTCCATGGCACTGCACAGTGAACACAGGGCTCACTAGAGGATTTTGGGCTCATGAAGTCTTCTTTCTGATTGGTTGGTCAGAGACATTCACACCTGCTAGAAGTCCTTCTGTCAGGCTCTGGCAGTTCCTCCTGCTGTTCCTCCTTGGACAGAGGAGCAGATGTCCACTCTACTGATGGATCTTCTACAGTAACTGCCTTTCTCCTGGAATTTCCTCCATGCTCTCGAGACTGTGCCGGGAGATACAGCAAACCTTCTGCCAGTGGCATGTATGACTGAGCCATCTTGGAGCAGTTGGACAACATTTGCAGCCTTTGGAGGGTCCAGGTATCATGATACCAGCAGTGACCCTGACTCCTGTAAGAGCAGTCAGAGAAGATGACGAGGGGTAAAGTGACGTCACTGTAAAACCTCTTTGGAGGTTCCCCACCAATATCCTCGAAGGTTAACTGATTTGATGCTGAACTCTGGTTAAAATGTATTCCTTTGACTTTTGTTTTTCAGCAGTACATTAAATATAATCTGTACAGACTTCCTGTTAAAGATGATTGTTTGAATCAAGCCGAGTATGTGGTTATCAGCGCACCAAACGACTCGTTCACAGCTGAAAGTTTTTCAAAACAATTTTCAACAACCAGCAAAGTCAAAGTCATTTAGAAGTTTCTACCATCTGCTTCTTTACAACTTTGATGGCGTCTATTTTTAGAAGGTGAAGGGTCACGTTTGACGATTCGTGAAATATCCATAATCACATATTCTAAATCTCGGGTGACCGCTTCAGTCCATATGAGAGGCTGATAGCATATTCATACTCAGGTCTACAGGCCTGTGTGCTTTATTAGAAAAAACTGTCATGAATATCTTATAGGCTCCTAATGCTGTGTGATACGTTAGGATCTGGACACATTAAAGTTTTAAAGGCACATTAGATTGGCAATGACAGAAGGATTAGGAGAACGGCGTGGGGGGCGTGGCTGTAAAAGAAGAAGAAAGTGAGTTAAAAACATTACAGCGGTGGTTTATATTTGTGGCTTTATTTAGTGAACGATGTCATGTTTCCTGCTTGAGCTGGCAGATCAGGCGAGCAAGGACCGCGAAGAAGGAAGCAAGGCGCCATTCAGAAGACCGCAAGTTTGTGGGAGACGCTTCTCGCTCACGTCGCGCGCTCTATGCTGCGCGCTCTATGCTGCGTGCTCTATGCTGCGCGCTCTATGCTGCGCGCTCTATGCTGCGCGCTCTATGCTGCGTGCTCTATGCTGCGCGCTCTTTTTCAATAATATATTATCTCTGATCTTCAGTGCTGTTGGCTGGAGGCTTTCTCCCTTCTAATATTGCTGAATTGCAGTAGAGTACTTTTAGTTAGTCCCTGTTCTTCCTCTTTAGTTGATACTGCTGACCTATGAGGTCTACCTCCCACCTGAAACGGCCCTTGTGTGTGTGCTGCTCGGTGCTGCGTCCGTGTCAGTGTTTCACATATGAGAGGTCATGACCCCGCAACCTGGAGTACACTTGTCTTCATCTGATTACATATTAACAGCCTGGACACACGGGCGTGGTCGTTGTGGGCGACGGGTCCTTTGACCTTCGGTAAAAAGCGACGCGTTCTCCCAGCGGACACCCCCCCTTCATTAATACAGACACCCACTGTCTGTCTGCATTTGCCTGTCGACCCAGCAGTGTCAGGTGTTTCTGTGTCGTCCTCAGGTAAACGGCTCCAGGAGTGGGTGTGTGTGATCCTGTGCCTCTTTCTTTTCATCATCAACTTCTCTTTCCTCCTCCTGCACTTCTCCACCGTTCACATCTACAAGATCGTCCTTGGCATCGGTAAGCTGACACTCACACGAAGTCACTAAACTGTGATGGCTGGGATTTTGTATGTAAATGCTAATAATCATTTTCATGAGTTCATGTACACCTCTAATCAAGTTTTTGTAATTCTCTGTCCACGCCTGCATTTATGTGACAGTCCTCGGAATAGTGACGGCAGATTTTGCATCGGGGATTGTGCACTGGGGAGCAGATACGTGGGGGTCGGTGGACATCCCTGTTATTGGGAAGGTACACACACACACACACACACACACACACACACACACACACACACACACGCGCGCAGGCAGGCTGTATCAAACACCTTTGAATAATTTCACATCAAATCAAGTTCATTTTCCTGCCAACCGAACTCTGAATCAGGTGTGCAGCAGTCTCACTAGTGTCGGTTCTGCTTTGCCTCTGTCAGACAGGCGGGTCGCTGACCAGCTGGTAACCACTGGTCACCTGGAAAGTGTGTAATCACTGACTAGTTGTTGCTGGCTGTCTCTGTGAAATCAATTGGTAAAGCTCCATTTCTGCAGCCCTACAGGCTGGTCAGAGAGACTGGTTGCACTGGAAAGCTCCTGGTCATTGATTTGGTTTGTCTGCAGACATTTACAACCAACTCCCCAAACGTCTGAGACCCTTTTAAACCCCTCGTAGTTCAACCCAAGCAATCACTGCAATGGTTTTGATACAGCAGCTGCTTTGTCACCAACTTTGGCTTCTTAAGTTTCTTCAGTCAAGGTAAGTTTAGCAGATTACATGGTTCATTCGATTGCTTCTGAGTGTTATGCAAACATTTTCCCTTCATCATTCTTTTTTCCCTCAACATAGAAGGACAAAGTCAAACTGTTCATCTTACAGCCGACTGTTTACTTTTTCCAAGCTTGGTTGTTAAATCTCGTCCTCTCTTATTTTGAGCTCCGCACTTTAAACAGAGAAGGAAGATTAATGTCTGCTCTTCAAAAGTCGTATGTCCCAAACACCAAAATATTCTAGTAGTAGCAGCAGCAGTAGTATTACTAGTAGTGACATCTATTTTTGTATCTTTAGTGACCTTTCAGAACACAAAGGTCAAATGGCCCAGTGTCAGGTTATTTGGGCCTACTGTCAGAAATACCTGTATCAGCGCCACCTGTGCACACTTTTGGAAACAAGTTTGGCATTTTTAATATTTATTTTTTCATTAATCGAGAAGTACCACACAGTTACAGTTCTTATTAGTGGACAGTCCACCTAGCTCTGTCCTTCGCCTGTTCCCCCGCTGGCTGACTCCCTGCTGTGAGTCCACAGTCTCATCGTGCTTCTTGTACAGTCTTGGTGACTGCAGGCGGGTAACTGCAGGCGGGTGACTGTTTGTCAGAAAGCGCCTGGTATTTGAAATGAGTGCAGAAGAGCACCTTTATAAATGATAGTATTTTAAAAAAGCCTTTTTTAAAAACATGTCCATCCTCAGATCCATTATTTTTGCATCGTTCTTGCTTTGGTACAGTTTTCCTGAATAATCCCAGCGAGCCAGATGGGACGGGTTTCTTTGGTTTTTACAGTTGGAGGTTTTGTTAAAAGTTGGTGTCTTCGCTTTCCTGGGACTGCATCGCCGTGGTAGCAGTCGCCCCTCGTCCCCACAGCTTTCCACTTCTGTAGTGATCTGAAGCTAAATGTCAGTGTAACACAAAGCGATTTCCCTGTAGGCAGTAATGTCCACTGCACTCACACACGCGCACACACGGGGTCACATGTGAACAGTCTCACCTTGAATATTGACGACCTTTCAGCGCACAGTGCACATACAGTATGCACATATTTATGTGGCTGCGTTACAGTAATCCACACACTCCTCTCAGCCAATTAGAGTAAAGGTTATCCTCATTTCATCCAATTAAAATCAGTATGATCCGGTGCAGCATGCAGATTGGTTCATGTGAACTTTGATTAATGGCGTGTGAATTTAGTGGAAGTGTGGGAGCGTTTCATCTACTGTTCCTTGTATTTATGAATTATTCATATATAAATAATGTGTGAAAAATGGAAGCTGATGTGTGAAGCATCCCTGTAAGAACCGTAGGCATTAATCACACTGTCCCACATGTTATCACTACATCATTAATAATAATTTGATATTGTTCACACTTTGATTGCAGTTCACACCATTTGTTACTTTGACTGAAAAACTGCAAACATATGGAAACGTGTTTTATTTACAAATACTTATTATCATAGTTAAATATGACCGCAAACACCAGAATCACCTTAACACCTGTAATGCAATTTGTAGTATTTTTGTAGTACAAGACAGTATTTGCTGTACTTGACTGATATTAGAACGACTTAGAGATTCTAATGTGATTCAAACAACATTATATAAACACGTCTCCAGCGTGATGCATGCATGTCATTCATTGTTTCCTCGTTGTCTTTCTGAGCTTTGTGTTAAACCTGATGACACGTGCAGGCTGTCACACCTCATCACTACAGTGCTGCATTTGTAGACTGTTGTGTTGCAGCTCCTTATTTTTGCATGGTTGGCTACCAGCTCGTGAGTGTAACAGCTTGGAGGCTGGACGTGTAGAGCGCTGTCGTCTATCAGTGCAGTGCACACGAAGGAACGAATGATGTTTGTTTTAAATTCATTTAAAATAATCCCGTGTCTGCTTGTATTGTTTATACATACAAGGTGATTATATATTTAAACATAAATACAGATGTTTGGCTCCAACCTTAAAACCACGAACAGGTACAGATGTTGTTATGTAGTTACATGCAGTACATGCAGTACTCATTCAAATGTAACGTGTAAAATGAAAGGATGTATAAATGACTGTAGTTATTGTACAAACACACCAGGAAAAAAACATGAATTGATTAATTAGCATTGTTGTTGTGTGTGAATCAAATATGTCTCTGCTCAGCAGCCTGCTGGATTCAGGCTTGAGATTACTGCCAGTACTTCAGTGTAATCTGATTAGCTGCAGCACCGACAGTCTTGACTTCGATGTGAGGATTTCTAATGGTTCGTGTAATTTGGGCTGTACCTAATGTATGTCTCTATTTTTAGATGCTACCTTAATAATATTTATTTGATATGTGCACTGTACTATCAGATGATGCTGAACAGTAATTTTAGGATCCCTGTGTTACTTGTTGTGTTTGCAGAAGGTATTATTTGGTGTGATGTTTATTTCTAATGTGGCATTTATTGAGGTTTGGGGTAGTTACTGGGACCAAAGGCACAGCAGCAGTCACAGATTTGCATGGTGTGTTGGACACTGTAGGAGACCTCTAATAAAGACTTTAACTGGCAGAGAAGAATGGACCTTTACGGAGAACAGAGGGCTGACAATAGTCTGCTGGAAATAAAGCGTCCACCTCTGCTGCATTTGTGAGGCTGAGAATAAAGCCGGCCCGTGCTCCCGGTTAGCGTTAGTTTGAATATCAAACACGAGCGTGATTCAGAACACCTGAGGCTAATGGCGGCCGTATTAGAGCGTTAGAAGTTGGCGCTGTCCTTTATTTTTGCCTTCTGTTATTTTATTCTGTTTTTGCTGATGTATGTCCAGTTTCCTGTCGCCTCTACCTGTGATGACCTGTGTAAACATGTGTTGTCTGTACTTTATGTACCGCTGATCTCCAAGCTGTTCAACGTGTCTCGTCTCAGACCGGCTCCCACTGAAGGTCATCGAATTCATCCCACACGTCTCATGTCACACCTTATATTTCAGACTGTGGGTCGTGTTTTTGTGTCACTGCTGCTCTCCTGCTGATGTTGAAAGTGTGGTAGCTGCCTGATTTAAACAGTTATCATTCATCTGCACACACACGCTTTTATTTGGACTTGTGTAGCTTTAGATTTTTAGACTCAGTAAAGTAAACGTCTGTGGGTGGGAGCAGCTGAAGAAGACGTTTTTCTTTAAAACAGGTGGTTTGATTAAAGACTTTATTCAAATCAAGGCTTTTATGGCAGTTACAGTAACAAGCACTGCTGTTGGGTGCTAGAATTAGTCTGTGTGTCATTAGTGAGACATGGGGCTTCGTGTGTTTAGCTACAAAGTAAAAACAGTCGTCAGTTAAGGAATGCGTCAAAGTAAGGAAGCTAGTGGAGTCAGTCAGCCGCTGTCCTCATGGAAACGTAACCCGCCAGTACCCACTGTACTCTGGAGTACATGCATCATATCAGCATTTGGCTTAAAAGAAAAAGAAAATCTGGAGTACAAACTTGTGTACGAACACATTCAGAGAGCGCATTATGATGCATGCTTCTGTCCACATCACAGTTGGAATATGTTGTTGTTCAGACAAAATAGGGCGAGAATTATTGCACAAAGTACACTGCGAGGTTGTTGCTCTCCAGGAGAAATTGTGTAACACCAATTTGTTCTTTCTGTGAGTCTACAGAAAGCCTTTTCTCTACTCAGCAGTGCTAAAATTGCAACACTAGTTTAAGAAGTGCTCGACAATTTCCCTGTAGCGTTTCCACATTTCCTTTAGGAGGCTTTTTGTCGTCATTGTGTCGTTGAGCTTTAATTGACTCAACAAGGATTTAGCAGTCCTCTAATGACACCACTTTGAGGACAAAGTCACGCTCATTAGTTCCCAATGATGCTCGATTCACACGGAAATTTGCCAGATGTGCTTACAGTTTTGGGATATATGTTTTAAGATCCTTTCTCCCCATCTAGTTCACTTGTGCAGTCATATTTTAAAAGCATCGCTACTTCTGTCCTTGTGTCGTTAACGAACAAATCTCTTTCAAGGCAACTCTCCAGTGAGGCTGATTGGAGCATTGAAAGAGAGTTAATTGAATGATGTAAGTCGGTTCTTATTTAAAGGACAGAAGGACGAAAAAAGAGTGCGATATTAAAGGATGGTAAGGTTGGGCCCAAAAAAGAGAGAAACTAATAAAAAATACAGCAGACGAGGTTGGAAGGACAAAAAAAGAAGGGGGTGGAAGGGCGTGTCCGTCCAAGCAGTGGGACAGCGGTGGTTGCTGGGGCGATGGGCGATGTGAGCTGGTGATTAACGGATGTCGTGCAAGGCAGGCCGTTAAACGGTGTGGGATTAGAGGACACGCAGCGACCGGTGGCCCGCCGTTAACTGGGAGCGCCCGTGCCGCCCCTCTCGGCACGACCTCTGCGGCTTAGCCGGCCTTTCATCTAGCTGAGGGCTGCGGTGAGAGGAGGGGGACGATGGAGGAGGGGAGGAGGGGGAAACAGCGGTAGAGAAGGGAGCTGGGCCCGTAATTGTGAGGATATCAACAGATAGTTTCAGCGTTTGCAGTGGCACCTACCGACGATGTCTGCTGATAGGCGTGTGCGATTGTTTCGAGCGGCTAACCCGACAATAATGAGTTTTCACGCTGATGTTTCCACGGCTGCACACAAACACGCACTCGGATAAATGCGCACTGTGCACAAACACATGCAAACCTTCCTCTTTTTGCTTTTTCCACACAGAGAAATAAATTACCTTTATCCTCTGTGTGCATGTGGGTGTGTTTCTTTCTGTCCTCTTTTGTGCTTCTGAGATTCAGATTCAGTCTTTCATTTGAGACCCCCATGCTCTCACAGACAGGTGTCTGCCTCTGCACAGTGCTGCTGGGGTTTGCTGGGTGTGTGTGTCTGTGTGTGTGTCTGTGTGTGTTCTAAAGCACACATTTTTGAATTGGTGGGGTGTCCATGGGTCATTTATGTGTATGAGTGTGTTTGCACAAGTTGACTGCTGTTCTGTGGTTTATTAGGATGCTGGATATGAGCTTTGGGGTTGCACAGGGTGCTCAGCACCACTAAGTGTGTGAGTGTGTGTGTGTGTGTGTGTGTGTGTGTGTGTGAGTGTGTGTGTGTGTGTGTGTATTTGATCTGCATTGGCGTAAAGAGGATAAACATGGTTTTGTGTTGTGGTTTAAAGTGAATTTAAATTCATTAGAAGAACCCAACGATGACTTTCAGCCTGTATGTGCATGTAACTGTAGCCCCTTTATTTAGCACAGACTAGATCGGCTGTTCACCCTGTTCCATTCATTTGTGTCCTGATGTCATGATTGTGTTATTAATACGCTGTTATCTCAAAGTCTGAGCCTCTCAAAATGGTTCATGAATAAAATCAAACCTTTGGATTAAAAGTGTGCAGTCGAACCAAATCTCAATTTAACCTCCGCTGCAGTCGTGTGCATAAAAATGTCATTGGCCATAAACAAATGGACTAATTGTCTCTCTGACATGAAAACGAGCAAACAAAAGAAGCCAAAGCGTTTAGGTGACGCCGACTCACTCACCGCCGTCTGCACAGCTTTGCAAACATATAAAAACGGCAGTCGGTAACTCCGAGCTGCTTTTTCTCACCTTCATCTTCCTCCACGCTACGCTAGTTCTCCTGCTAGCTGTTGCGAGTTACAAAGTGCATACAGAACAACATACAACTGAAGTGGATGGATTGGCCTGTAGATTCACTGATATCCGCACTTCTCAGTCAGGATCGGGCGGATGTGCAGCTGCTGAGGCAGGAACAGCGAGCAGAGTCTAGTTTGGGATCTGTGTGGATTACTTTGATTTGGAAAGGCCACCACTTCAGTATTTTTCATTTCATATAAAAATAAGATAATGATGGTTTAAATAAAGTCCTCCCTCTAAAGCCAGTTGTTGTACGAGCAGAAACTCGTCGGAGCTTAGACTGAGAATAGTTTTATTCATTTCTTTTCTTTGCAGGCATTTCTTCGACCATTCAGGGAGCACCACATCGATCCGACTGCCATCACTCGCCACGACTTCATCGAAACCAATGGCGATAACTGCATGATCCCCATCCTACCGCTGGCTCACATGGCCTACAAGTTCCTCACTTACACACCAGGTAAATCACACATGTGCTTATACCGGCTGCAGAGACACAGATCTCTGCACTATCGCAGTCACTGTTTGAGCTGTGCTCTTGTTGCTGGGCGAGTCAGTTTCCTGTAAATATCTGCTAGCAGCTGTGGGCACATCTTAGATGTGATAAAGGTTGGTCAACAACGAGAACAGCAGTTCTGTAACCAGTCTGCACGAATGCCACCATCTATCAGAACTGGTGACCTGATGGTCAGTAGGGTCCTTAGAACATGGACGCTGCTGCTGATGGAGGACTTGATGGAGCACGCCATCCCCTAATCTAACTGGTGTTTAAATCAGCATGAATGTGATGGATAGGCAGAATCTTGGCACATGTAGTTTTAGTGTCAACACTAGACTAGAAAGAGCTGGGAGCTCCTTCTTTGCTCCATCATATCTTTGTCAAGTCAAGTTTATTTATAAAGCACATTTAAAAACAACCGAGGCTGACCAAAGTGCTGTACAATAAAATACAAATATAAAATACAATAAAACACAAGTACATAAAACACCTCACTGATAAAACAATAAGTTAAAACAGTAAGTTAAACCTTGCTAAAAGCCAATGAGAAGAGGTGAGTTTTAAGAGCAGTTTTAAAAGTTCCTAGGCTTGTGGAGAATCTGATGTGAGGAGGTAAACTGTTCCACAGTCTGGGTGCAGCCACAGCAAAAGCCCTCTCTCCCCTTTGTGCCCACTATCTCTGTAGTAGTAGTGTCTGAAAACAACCAAGAAAAAAGATGAGTATTTCTTCAGTGAAAGAAGAAAGGTAAACCAACAAGTGGAAAGTCATTTTAGCCCTTCTTTCAGATTGGATGAACCAAACATTCACCAACCAACCAACTGGCTGGGATTTGTCGATCTGATCAGGTGAAGGAAGCCCAGGATGGACACAGACAGCTGCTGTTTGGAAACCTCAGTGTGTCATAGCCTTAAATATTCTTCTTTTGCTTCCTGTGTAGAAAAGAAAATCATCATTGCCATTCTTATTATCCTGAGAAGCTCGAGGGTGTAACATTGTAGACGTTTGAGCTAACTTCCTACAATTAAACCTCAAACTGGCGATGAAAATGCAAGGACTTCAGAAGGTCAGCTACAGTGTCAAACAGTTTGTAGCTGTGCCTTAGTACTGCAAGGTGCCAGACTAATGGAAGTTAAGGAAAAGCATAGGGCAGGTGATCATGTGCACTGACCTTACAGCTGCAGGGCAAGAGGTGGGAGGGACTGGAGGAGGAAGATCAGCAGGAGAAACTGAGCAAGCTGTTATTGAGGAGGTGACATCTCCACCTGTCATGTCTACACTACAAGTTGAGCTGAAAGGTCACTGATGGGAGGAGCGGAGGGGAGTTGACATCAGTTAGTTGGGTTAAAGGCTAGGTTAGCTACCGTGCTGTGAGGTTAAGCTGCTCCCAAGCATCTAGCACTGTGCATGTCTGATAAAGTGATAAACCGAGGTAGCTGGATAGGAAACGAAATAACAAAGTACCAGTGTAAAGTCTGCACTGTACTTCATTCATACATTCAGAGGAAAAGAAATGCATGCACGAAACAAGTCTGTTTCTATTTGTTCAATTCTATTTATACAAATTTATTTATATAACAACAGTCGCCTGTTATTGTAAGGTAGACCCTACAATAATAGATACAGAGAAAAACCCAACAATCATATGACCCCCTATGAGCAGCACTTTGGCGACAGTGGGAAGGAAAAACTCCCTTTTAACAGGAAGAAACCTCCAGCAGAACCAGGCTCAGGGAGGCACACAGAGAGTGCGTGTGTGTGTTGTGTGAGTGGTGTGTGTGTGTGAGAGAGTGTGTGTGCATGCGTGTGTGTGTGTGTGTACGTGCGTGCGTGTGTGCGTGTGTGTACGTGCGTGTGTGTGTGTGTGTGAGAGAGAGTGTGTGTGCATGCGTGTGTGCGTGCTGTGCCTGCAACAGGCAGCGTGGTGTCACTCCTGGAGAGCCCAACCTCCAGAAACCTCCTACACACCAGCACGCCGCGTCGCTCACACAGGCTTACAAACGCACGAGATGATTGGCTGTTTCTGGTCTACCGATGACCTCACTGTGTTCAAAGCTTGTTCAAATACAGACTCCAACGTGTCTACGAATCACGTGAACCGTCGTTTTGTTTGTTTGCAGATTCTGTGTTTGCTCTTCAGCAAAGAAGCGATGAGCACAGAGACAGGAGTTACATTTATATGCATTTGTCTGGTTTCCCCATTCATTCCTATTTGTGTACATTTTCCTTTCCATGCCCCTCCCTCCATTCAACCCTTGTGTATTTGTTCTTCAGTCAGTTTTCTTTGCCCACGCCAGGTCGTCCGATCGAGGTTTCTGCCCAGTCAGCTGTTCGATTAATCTCTCCAAGGATCTCCAAAAGCCCAGCTGGTCCAGCGGATAGTTGCACCAACCTGGGAAGGATAGAAGCCAGGGGAGGAAACGATTACAGTGCAAGACGTAAAATGATAAAAGCAAACAGCAGCAGGACAGGGAAGGGATGCAAGCAGTGTCACAGGTATGCATTTGTCTGGGGCCTGTTCACTTCTTGGCCGGGTTGACCGCTACGCGCAAATAAGATGGCAGGTCTGGACTGCAGCAGCCGATGTGTAAGTGTTGTCACGATCATTTTGTTCTGGCTAAATATTTCCACACTGTGTGGGCTGTCTTTGCTGTCTGCATCCCTGTGGATCATTAAATGGTTTTAACTACTGGTATCAGGATCACCCAGAAGTTCTCCACTCAGGACATCTCCAGGAGCCACGTCTCAGACTGATAAACAATCTCGTCCTGAAGCCCGCAGTCCAAAAACTGAGTCGATGGTCGTTCTTCTTTAAAACAGCCCAAATACCCAATCTAGTTCCTGTTACTGACAGCTGCACTCAGCAAGCACCTTGTTAGGTACACCTGTTCGTCTGTTAACACAGATCCCTAATCACCCAATCACACGGCAGCATCTTTTAGACCAAGACAAAATGCTCAAGTTCAAACTGTAAGAAAGAGTGAGCAGATGTGCTCCTCTGTTTCACACACTGCTGGGATTTTCCCACAGAACAATCTCTAGGGTTTACAGAGAATACCCTGAAACAGTGAAAGCATCCAGACAGCAGCAGTTTTGTAGGAAAAAATTACTTTTGGAGGTCAGAGGTCAGTGGAGAGTGGCCGGGCTGCTTCAAGCTGAGGCAGGACGGCCGCAGTAACTCAAATAATCACTGATTACAACCAAAATATGCAGAAGAGCATCGCTGAACGCACAACATGTTGAACCCTGAGGGAGATAGGACCACAGCAGCATCTCTGAGGAATGTTTCCTGCTCCTTGTTGAATCCACCACACGAAGTATCAGGGCAGTTTAGAGGGCAAAAGAGGACTGATGTATAAAGCACTTTGTGGAGTCAAGCAGCACATTTACCTAATCACGTGTCCGGTGAGTGGATGTCACGTCTGAAGATCTGAGTTAGTAGCAGTAGCCAAATGACGAAAATCGTCTTTTCAGGTTCTTTGTTTCCTTCTTTTTTCCTCCACGTGTAATTTCCTGTCCCCTCTGATCTGATTATGCACTGACAACATTTACAGGGGTGAAGGTTTGAACATGTTTAGTCCTATTAACACGTGGGAACACGTGGGAACACATGCTCGCTCAGTGTCGTCGCTCACAGTGTCGTCGCTCTCGTGCCGTTTACAGAATCTGAACAGCTGTGAATGTTTCTTAGACTATCACGCTGCAGATGGATGCAGGCCAAAGTACACAGAGTATGAATGCATGACTGTACAGTAGTCTGTGAATACACGTGACTGCTGTGAAACAACATGCCTATGCAGAGGGCACACAGTCCCGTGACACCTGAGATGAAATCCATTTCATCATTTCAGCCAAAGACACAAACTCGTATCTAAACTCTAAAAGTCGATCGCACAGAGACATGAAGACAGCACAAAGACCCACACGGACGTTGTGTACTTGTGCTGCACTTGTGTGATGTGTTTGCATAGGGTTCTTGCAATAGCTGCAGGGATGCGTGCACGCGCGTCCCTGCGGTGACCTTCTCTCGGCTGGAAGACGTTGAAGCAGCCAGAGGTTGTGTTTGATTTCACTCTCCGCTGTCTGTCGCTCGATGTCTTCCTCCACCACACACTCCTCCTTTTTTATTCCTCCAACCTGCCTCCCACCCCCCCTCTCGTCCGTTCCTCCCTGTCCTCAGCCCCCCACCTGTGAAGTCTATTTTGTTAGAACAGACAGCAGGTTAGCATTAAATATACATGGGGATTGTCAGCCGGTGGCGAGCACAAAGGCAACTAGGCGAGCCCCAGCGGAATCCAAGCCAGGCCCAGGCAGCCGGGCTCGGGGAGCGGGGGGCCGTCGCCGTGCCCCGTGGGCCCCCCTACCCACCAGCCCACACACACACACAAATACACGCACGCACAAACACACACACACACACACACACACACACACACACACACACAGGATAGTAACCAAAGAGAAGGTCAAAGAGACTAGCACACAGATGCTGGAGTATGCAGATGTACACAGTGTGTGTGTACAGACACACAAGTCTAGGAGTGTGGCCTAGTAGAAGAGGTGTTACGAGGAGAGGCGGGGAAGGCAGGGGATCGACGAGGAGATGAAGGGGAAGATGGAGGGGCTGGAGCTAGGGGGTGGGCGACTGGAGGGTGATGTGGCGAGAGGGACGGAAGTAGGGCGAGGAGGCATGGTGAGCAGGGGGGAGATGAGCGGGAGGGAGGGATAGGTGGGGAGGGATTGGCGGATAGGGAGGAGAGGAGGGGGCGCGGGGCGGGGCGAAGGAGGGGTGAGGTGAGGGCGCGGAGGAGAGAAGCAGGAGGCGGGGCGAGGTGAGGAGAAGGGAAAGATCTCGGAGGGCCGAGGGAGTATTGGGGACGGTGGTGGGGGAGGCGGGAGGAAGGGTGTGGACGGGGGCGGGCAAGGGGAACAGGGTGCGAGAGGCGACGGGGCAAGTAGGCGG